ATTTGCTTAAAATTTTAAAAATATTCACTAAAAATAAAAAAATCAATTTCCAGAAAACTGAATTAAAAAAACTCAAACCAAACACACTGAATAATTTCAAGAATAGCCATCAACTTTTTGTAACAAATTTGATTCAAACATATACTTACCGATATATGATCATCTTGATTTTTACATAAATATTTTACTCAACGAATTCTAAAAATGAATGGTTTAGATTACTGAAATAGGTCCCAGTTCGAGCCTATCAAACCCAAATGCTTTTTTAAGTTGAGATCGCCTTTGGGGTCTTTTGGGAAATGGGTTATAATTCACTTCCCAGATTATAACCCACTACCTACTTCCCTCTCTCACAAAAAACTGATTATAATAAACTTTTAATCAATTTTTAACCAAAAAACTGATTATAACCACATGCTCAAAATAGCCCAAACTAAACCATTATTATTATTAAGGGTTTTTAGCTTTAAGATCTCTGATATTAATATTTTATAAAATAAATAATAGGCAACACATTTGATAGTAGTTGGAATCCCTCAACATTTTCATCGAGAAATTTTGGCATAGATAAATTTCAATTCATCACAAAGAAATTCGTCACAAAATTTTTTTTGAGAACTGAAATTTATTTAATAATAATATTAATGAATTTTAACAAATAAGGTAAAATATATTAAATCTTTTACTAATTTATATATATATATATATATATTAATGGTAAATGCGATCTCTAATTTACAGGCAATGGTCTTGAAATAATTGGAAAAGAGAGTTTTTTTTATAAATCTTTTTTTTAAGAGTTTTATTCTATTTAAGTTATATATTTTTTTGATTATTTCATTAGATCCTATTTGAGATAAGAATATCAAAACACCCTCAATCTCTCATTCCTCTTATTAATGTTGATAATTAATGTTGATTGTTATTATGCTTTGGTAATTTTCATGCATCAAGATGTTGACTATCAGGGATATTTTGGGAAGAAAATAAAAAGTCAGCTTTTAACTTTTTACCCATTTTGGGTTACATTACCTCTCATATTTTTTACCCACAAAAAGACAAAATAGACTAAAAAAGTCAAAAAGCCAATTTTTTATCAACTTCCCAAAATACTCCTCATTATATTCATATTAATTTAAAATAAATTTTTATCATTGCGTTGTCAATTACATGATGTGAGTATTCACATCATATATCATGTAATTAAAATGAATATTCACATTAATTTGAAATAAAATTTTGTCATTGTGTTGTCAATTACATGGTGTGAATATACTAAAACATACGAATGTGAACGTTCACATCACTACATTAGATAAGAGAGAATGTTCACATATTGTGAATGTTCACATCACTACATGTTGTGAATAAAAATATGTTGTCAATTAAAAATATAATGAACCTTATTTTTAATGCATTGTCAATTAAATGAATATTCACATCATCACATTAGATGAGAGAGAATTTTTCTGAAAGGTATTGTGAACATTCACATCAGATGAGAGAGAATGTTCACATTATTTTTAATGTGTTGTCAATTAAAAATATATTCACATTATATAATAATATAAAATAATAACATTAATATTATTTAATTTTTGTATGAAATTTCTTATGCCTTGGTCTTTTCCTTTCTTTCTCTTCCTCTCAATATTAAATATCAACATTAAATATAAGGGCTAGGGGTGGACGTGGGTCGGTTGCGGCCACAGAACCTCCAATCCGCCATCCGTCCATTAGATTGGTAGATTGGAGAAAATCAATCTGCATCCGTCCGCTAATCCAGTGGATGTAGATTGAGCGGATTGGCGGATGGATGCGAATCGATTTGGCGGTTTAAAATTTTATAAATTTTCAATATAATTCAACTTGTACACTTCAAAAAAAAAAAAAAAAAGTATTACAGTTAATGACTTAAAAAAATACAGCAGTGCTAGAGGTCTCGAATTTGCCTCAACAACAATATTATTTATTTATTTTTTGTTTTTGTTTTTGAGTGGTGGTTGTGTTAGTTAGTTATTTTTTATTTTTTGTTTTTTATTTTTTTAAGGGTGGTTTATGTGTAAGAATGTGTCAAAAAATTAGACATTCCACACCAACTCATCGTATAAAATTATATGAAATTAACAAAATTTAACCAACAGCCTAACTGATCAGTCAATTTTATCACTCAATCAGTCCAACCTAATTGACTGATCAGTTAAGCTGTTGGTTAAATTTTGTTAATTTCATATAATTTTGTACGATGTGTTGGTGCGAAATGTTTAGTTTTTTGGCACACCCCTACACTACACATAACCACCTTTAAAAAAAAAAAATACCAAACCAACATAACCCAACAAATAAAATAAAATAAAATAAAATAACCAACATAGCCCAACAAATAGAAGAAAAAAAAAAAACTCAAACTATATAGTTTGATAAGGTAAGTGAGTTGGGTTAGACTTTATCAAACCATAAAGAATAAGTTAGTGCGAGACGTCTAATACACATAACCACCCTTGCAAAAAAGAAAGGAAAAAAAAAGATAGAATTTTTTTTAAAAAAAAAAAGAAACAAACACACAGTACAAAAAAATAAAATAAAAAAAAAGAATTTTGAGGCAATTTCGAGGCCTCAATAAGCATTAATAAAAAAAGTATTACAATCACTACACGTCTCATCCAAAGAAATAAAGTTTGAAACTTTAGAATATCACAATCACTGCATGCATCATCTACATATTACAATGACATCATGCCTTATCGACATAAAGTATTATAATTTGTGATTCTTAAAATATAAAAACAATTTAAACCACCAAAACCATGAACAGAGTAGTAGTAGAGATTGTATACCTCTGTATTGTTACATCTATATCTGTTTTTGAAGATAAAAACCAATCAGTATATATCATATTTTCTATTTATTATTTTTAGAGTTAGATTTAAAAACAAAAAAATATAGATAAATAATACGTTTGTTTTTTAAATTAAAAAAATATATTCAAGTTGAAAACTTTTTTTCAACAGAATATTTAAACTCTTTTTCAATTGAAAACACAAACAAAATATTTAAACAAATGAAAACTAAAGTCCTACAAATTACTAAGGGTGCTCGTGGTTTGGAGATTTGGTTGTGGTCAAAGGAATCTCAAGTCCGCCATCCGTCCAAAACTAGGTAGATTGAAAAAAATCAAGCCACAATAGTCCGCTCGTCATTGTGCATCTGTCCAAAATGTGGCGAATCGGTTCGGCTCGGTTTGGTCGTTTTGAGCGGATCAAAATATCCGCTGAGCACCTCTACTCATAGTAGAATGCTAAACATAGTAACGAAAAACACACACGAGCGGGATTCTAAAGTACAAAAACCTTACATATTTACTAAGCGGGATGCTAAAGTACAAAAACCTTACATATTTACTAAGCGGGATGCTAAAGTACAAAAACCTTACATATTTACTAAGCGGGATGCTAAAGTACAAAAACCTTACATATTTACTAAGCGGGATGCTAAAGTACAAAAACCTTACATATTTACTAAGCGGGATGCTAAAGTACAAAAACCTTACATATTTACTAATGTCCTGCGAAAACTACAAAACAAAGTTAGGAAATATTCATGATTTTATATACAATATCCTAATGCAATACATACACAAAATGCGACTAGAGATTTAGTTACTAAAACATGACATGTAAGTAATCTCAAGACATGAGGTAGCGCACAAAACCACAAAAGAATTAATTAAATTCATAGGTGCAAATGAGCCAAATCTAAATGCGTGAAATATAGATACAAAATATGGATATGATGAAAAATAAAATATGATGCTATATATAAAATATGAAAAGCGAGTAAATAAAAAGGATAGAAAAAAATGGGATTGGTGATTGATTGATTAATGATAATGAAAAATAAAAAAAGATTGAAATTTTAAAATTAATTTTAAATTATATTTTAAATATATGTTTGACTAATATATTTTATTTAAATCATAATTTAAAAATTAAATTAAATGTTAAAAACTAAACCGCTGTTCATATTTCTTCCTTCACTAACCCACTTTGGTGCCGTTTGGGACTGTGAGTTTGATTAATTAACGTATAGAATGTTGAAAAATATGAAAGAAGAGAGAAGAGATAAAAGAGAAAAAGTGATTGACTGATTGATTGATTAATGATAATGAAAAATAAAAAAAGATTGAAATTTTAAAATTAATTTTAAATTATATTTTAAATATATGTTTGATTAATATATTTTATTTAAATCATAATTTAAAAATGAAATTAAATGTTAAAAACTAAACCGCTGTTCATATTTCTTCCTTCACTAACCCACTTTAGCGTCGTTTGGGAAGAGCTCATTTGGGCTCTTTTGGCTCTTTGAGCCACAAAAGACAAAATAGGTTATTTGAGTTACAACAGACAAAACATCACATCTTTCCCAAACCAAGTTTTTGAGCCCAGGCTCAAATAGTCAAAAAAGCCAAAAAACTAAAAAGCCAACTCACTTCCCAAACGGAGGCTTTATGGGCAAAAGGTCTTTTTAGGGGTGTTTTAAGAAGATAGTTAAAATTGTTTTTTAGTTTTTTTTTTAAAATTTTTTTGTGAGGGAGGAAAGTGGGTTACAAGTTGAAAAATGATTTTTAACCCACTTTCTAAAATGATGTGATTTGACTTTTTAACTTTTTTAATTTGAGATTAAAAAAACTCGTTCATGATAGACTTTTAAGTTTTTTTTGACTTTTATAAGAAAAAAAATAAAATGATTATAATGTAGATATAATATTTTGGGAAAATCGGTCTAGGGTCCCTCTCCCACTTTTCGTAATGGAAGAGATCCACAAAATTATTTTTTGATGTCTAAGGTCCTAAACATATATCAAATTTCAGTCAAACCCATTGACACCCCTCTCTCTCTCTCTAACGACCTGCGTTCCAGGTAACATAATTTAAAAGAATACTTTTGGTGTGAAAACATAACATCTACTGCCTATCTGAAAATCAACCATTGATTTCCTAGATTTTAGCAGAAATTTTCACCAGACTCTTATTATCTGTCAGAAGTCATGATTCAATGGGCAACATTGCAAAGTTTTTTTTTTTTTTTAATTGAAAGGTAGGCTTAAATTAGTCTTCTGCCCTATTTAAAAGAAACCTAAATTACATCATACCTGTAATGCGCCTGTTCGGGTCAAAGACGAGCATTTTCTCCAGCAAATCTACAGCTGCAGGAGACATATTGGGAAATCTAGCAGAGAATTGTTGCCGTGAGTATTGTGGAAGCTGCCTTACGTATCTTCGGGCATTATCACTTCGGAGAAAACCAAGACTTGCATCATCAGGTAAACCTATAAGCTCTGTGATGAGTCGAAGCTGATGAACATAATCTCTGCCAGGGAATAGGGGTTGTCTAGTCATAATTTCACCAACGTCGTACTCCCATAATAATAATTCTGCATCCATCTCGTGCTAGGTGGTGAAATGAAACATTAACGATGTATTTGGACAGTAAGAGGGAGAACTTGGGGCGTGTTTGATTGGATAGATTAGAGTATAAGATTGACATTATTAATTTATGGGTTAATTATTTTATATTTGTTTGAACATTTTGATTTAGGATTCTTAATTCAATAGATAACTAATTCAACAAGTTTATAGGATTATTAATAATAGGATAGGGGTGGAATTATTAATCCAATGAATATTAATCCAATTGAATAGTGAATATCACACTAATTTAATAAAATTATTAATATTTTACTATTAATTTTGTGAATCAAATATGACGTAAGAGTTTTAATAAGTTTTTTGGTGAGAGAATCCCATTGTCCTGGACTATTCTTCCACACCGGTTATCACTAAAGGGTCTGATTGCTTTGAAAGATCAAGGGTGAAGTGAGTTGGGTCTACAAACGTTATATGGGTGTTTGGAAACTTGGGTTGGGAGTTTTTTTTTTTATAAAAATAATTAATAAAGATAAAATAAATTAAAATAATTAATAATATAAAATATTACATTCAAATCATAATAATTATTTTTTTATTATGATCAAATAAACTATAAAAAATATTAATTATCTTTTCAAACATAATTTTTTTTAATCAAATTAAAATAATAAAAAAATTAAAAAACCAATTAAAAACTAACTTCTCCAAATAACATTGTGGAAAGTGAGACTCGAGCTGCTGAGCTAGCCCACGAGACCGCAACCGTAGTGGACCGCCCAGTCACCCCGTCAACGTCCTCCCCACCCCACTTCAACTCTTCACGTCCTCGTCGCGTTTTTTTCCAGCCTCTTCAACCTCTCGCTCTCTCTCTCTCTAAATCCTGTACCCAAAACCCTCTTCCACCCCCTCCGCAACCGCAACCGCAACCGCAACCATGAACATCTTCAGATTCGCCGGCGACATGACTCATTTACTCAGTATTCTAGTCCTCCTCCTCAAAATCTACGCCACCAAATCATGCTCAGGTACACAAACTCTCATAGATCTTGAATTGAGTATTCCAAACTGTAATTGAAGCTGAGTTTGTTGTTGTTGTTGTTGTTGTTGTTGTTGTTTCGAGTTAGGGATTTCGCTGAAGACTCAGGAGCTGTACGCCTTGGTGTTCGTGACTCGCTACTTGGATCTATTCACAGACTTCATCTCTGTTTACAACACTGTGATGAAATTGGTGTTCATCGGAAGCTCGTTGGCGATCGTGTGGTGCATGCGCTGGCACCGAGCCGTGAAGCGGTCATACGATCGAGAACTCGACACTTTTCGCCATTACCTAGTAATCGCAGCGAGCCTTGTCTTGGCTCTACTTGTTCACGAGAAGTTCACATTTCAAGAGGTATTTTCATTTCTCTAATATATTCCATTATATTGGTTTTGTCTGTTTTTCTGATTTGTATTGACCTAATTTTGAGCTGCTAGTTTTGATTGGTATAGTGTTGTGGTTTTGCCAAATAGGAATACAATATGCCTGATTTGATTTTCTATATCTTGCTCATCTTTTTTTTTTTTTTTTTTTTTTGAATGCTCTAATATTGTGAGAGAATTGATTATTGCTGACCATGTTATTCAGAGTTTGACTCTAATTTTTTGTTTGATGTCCTTACTAGATTCTAGTCTTGATATGAGGATATTGTAGTTTGATTATTGGAACTGGCTGTGGATCAGTAAAAATTCATCATGGCCACCATTCATTATACAAAAAATACAATAACAAATCGGGCCATTCGTTATTTTTTCAGTAGACCACATCATTGCTCCATACTCCAATTAATGAAGCCCTATCTTCTCAAAACACCTAGTATCATGAATTCAAATGGACAACTTTCAGACTAATCTCCCAGAGAAGTAACTAGGTTCTCACAGTAATTTCATCAAACACCTAAGTGGCACCGAGCAAAAAGGGAAACAAGTGATTGGAGAGGGAAAAATTAGCAGCAGCAGAGAAGAAAGGGAAAAGCAAGCAGCAATGGCAGTGAAGGAAGAGAAAATGCAATAGCAATAACAACTGCAGAGAAGAATAGAACAACAGGAGTAGTGATAGAGGAAAGGAAGGAATGGGGGAAAACCCTAAAGTCCACTACGGAGCTCTAATCCACAAGCTAAAGAATAGAGAAGGGGAAAGATACGTGTAGCCGTCGCTCTAACAAACTCAAGCGTTTCTCACATCTTGGCCTCTTTTTAACTGACCTAATTGAATCCTATTTATAGACTTTTCAAAACCCTAAAATACAAATTCACTAAAATAACCCTCATACAAAAATACAATAAAAAATCAGGCCATTCATTATTTTCCCTGTAGACCACATCATGTCACATCTCCATCTGCATGTACTGTTAACATTGATGGTGTTACTAGCAAACTTAATTCATTATGTATCCACTGCAAGGGCATAAATGAGTGCTGTGAGTATTTTAGTAGCCTACTAATGTACCATATCAACAAATTTTCTGAATTTTAACGACATTGTTATTATTGCTTGGCATATTTATACTTTACAGCTTGATCTATTATACAAAATGTCACATTCTTTGTTTCAAAATTTGGATTGAATGATAGTGTCCATGCTACAGTTTGAATTAATTCTTCTTTCTAATTGAGATATTTGTAGGATTTTTATTTTTTCATTTCACTATAAACAACTTTTCTTGTTCTTTGATTATTCCCTAGTTGTGCTCTATCCTGTCTTGTTTTGATTATTGTCTTTGTTGATTCTATTATTTGATTGTAGAACTAAAGAATAGTTTATTAGTTATTAATTGAAATTAAGATTTTATCAAGAACACCAATCTCATCAACTTTCTTGTAAACTGGAAATCATCTTGTTCTTTCTTTTGTAACAGGAAGCAAAGCAACCTTTTGATATTGTGTTATCTTGGACATTCTCAATTTGTTTTGTAGGTTGTTGTAGTCATTTATTAATACTATATTTGAACGTGGGAACTTCATAGTGTGGTTGTATCATATATGCCCTGTGACTAACAAGTTAAACAGTATAGATAGAGTATTTACCCGAAGATTGATTGATTTGTCATCATGGCTTGAAGTAGGTTTAAAAGATCAACTCTATGGAGTCTTTCCTATCTATTCTAGGGCATGAAATATAAATGGGAAAATAGTTTTAGAAAACCAAACCAAACAGCTGTAAGTTTTTGGGTTTGCCTCTATCAAGTCAAGTGTACGTGCAAACAGTTATATTATAGCTTGATTTTGAACTTCGACAATGTTTTGTGCTAAGATCATTTTACTTTGTTTACTTTTTGGTTGAACTTGGTGTATGGAAATATGGAAGGGAAAAACAAAAGGTTGCTAATGAACATTGTTACAATAATGCTGCTTATTAAACCTTACCCAAACCTTGAACTTGTTTGATCAGTTTGTTGATGTGCACTTGGTGGATATTGTTTCTAGGATTTGTTTCTTGTCCACTGTGGTTCTATAAATGTATTCTTACACTATGTTTGGGAACCTAGGAGCGAAAAGAAAAGAAATGATTACTTAAGTTATAAGAGAAAAGAAAAGAAAAAAAATAATTGTGATTTCTCTCCTTTTTGTTTGGATAAATAAGAAATAAAAGAAAAGAAATGATTGTGACTTCTCTCCATCTTGTTTGGTTAGATTTCATAAAAGAAAAGAAAAGAAACTGTTTTATGTTATATTACCAAAACAACATAAAAGCCTTTGAGGACATGGGTGTCAATCATTTTATTTCTTTTATTTTTACAAGGACAAAATTGGTATTATGAAAATATAAGAATCTGTTGGTTTCTTTTCTCTCCTAATCTCTCAACTTTTGGGAAGATTGAAAATGAGGGTTATAAGAGAAATGGGTTTATCTCCATTTCTCCCAATTTCTCTCCACTTAAGTTATCCAAACAAGTAAGAGAAATACATATCTCTTTATTTCTTTTCTTTTCTCTTCAAACCACTCAATCCAAACATAGTTAGTGTTTTATCCATTCTTAGTTTTCAATATCAGCACATCCTCTTGTTAGTTGCTTCTTTCTATTTAATTTGACATTGCTGCAAGATGTGCTGCTAAATTTGATGTAATTATGTTGCAGATCCTCTGGGCCTTTTCAATATACTTGGAGGCACTTGCAATTCTTCCCCAATTGGTTTTACTGCAAAGAAGTGGAAATGTGGACAATTTGACTGGACAATATGTCTTCTTTCTTGGGTATGTTTGACTGAACAGTTTTCTTGAGAAAGAACAACTAGTTCTTGAAATCTTACACTGCTCACTGTTGTCCTTACCCAAGAAAATTCTCGAGTACATTATTGTCAAATATTCTAACTACAACTATTGAAAGTGGCTTCAATATATTTTTTTTGTCTAACCTCTTCAGTTAATAGGATACACAAAAAATCTTGATTCATCACATGATATAAAATTTATTTTTAATGTTATTTTTTAAGAGTCCTGCTAATGACAGCCCTAAGGTCGATGAATAAAAAGCACATAATGTCAAAATATTTTTAATTCCAATACACATTTCACATATCTCAAAAAACTTTGTACATATTTCATACATTTTTTTTTTACACATAAAGGTTAATTACACTTTTCACCCATATAATTTGACCCCAATTTCACTTTACTTCCTATTGTTTCAATTTGAACAATTTGGTCCCTACACTTTAAGGCCTCATCTACGAATTGGCCTTTTGACTTGTTACGAAAAGACGTATAAAAAAGTAAAGAAAGTAATGTGATAATTTGTAGTGGCTTTTTGGCTAAAACACACACTCCCCAAACATACCCTAAGTTTCAATTGTCATTCTCATTCTATTTAATTTTTTGTTGATTTTGTCTGTTTGGTATAATTTTCCGGTTCATATTTTTTTTTTACACAGGGCCTATCGTGCACTCTACATTCTTAACTGGATCTACCGCTACTTCACGGAGCAGCGTTTCAGTCGATGGATATGTAAGTTGCTAGTATTAGAGAGCAGACCATCTTGGTTTGATCCGATGCATAGTTGATCTTTTCTAACTTCACATCTTCGTTGTCTCAGCTGTCATCGCTGGTCTTGTCCAGACTGCTCTCTATGCAGACTTCTTCTACTATTATTTCATCAGGTAATGAATCCTCGCACCTATTTTACACTGATTCTTCTCTTCTGTGTGTTTTTCCCGATAAACAGACTGAACGAAGCCATTTGTTGTGCAGCTGGAAAAACAATGCGAAGCTTCAACTGCCAGCCTGAAGTAAGGAAAGATGTGGATATTAAGTTGATACTTGCTGACATGAATTGCTGTTGCAATGGGAGACTCAGTACACCTATCATCAGCATTCCACTAACAAAATCAGATATAGGTTTTCAATGGAAAAAAAAGAAATTTAGTGTTTAGGTGGATCGAATAGGCCATGTTTGTACGAGGGGATTGTTTTGAAGCCCTTGTGATCTTCTTGTAACATGTAAAGATGCTGTTGGAAAGTCGAATACATGCTTTAGTGTAGACGTGAGTATTTTGTTGAATAGTGAGGGATATTTCTTAAAGGATATTTAAATTATGAATTTGAGTAGTAATATTTGGTGCGGTGACATTTGACATTTGCATTCACAGGAAGGGAGGACCTTTATGTGCTCCCAAAATGAGTTGTAAAGGTGGGTTTGAGCTATAGGTTGATCTTAGCTCCACCAATACTGTGTGTTTGGTTGAGAGATTTGAAGAGAGATTTGCAAAGAGAAATGAAAAAGGTAAGTGAAATGTGTATAAAATATATCTATATTTTATTTATTTTTATACATTTTTTTCTTTTTTCTTTTTAAATTTTTTTTCAAATTGTGCAACCAAAACACTAGTAATAAGGAATTGGTAACCCAATAATACTAATAGACAGACACCTTACCCCAAAAAATAAAAATAAAAATAAAAACTAAACAAACATGAGTCTCGCCCTTGAAGTTTGCTTTGGAAACCTGAATTATGTACTCTTAATCATTGGGCTCGCACCCGATAATGTAACTCTTTTATTTATTGCAATAAAATGATTTTTTAAAAAGTAAAATATAAAAAATTAAATCACTTGGAGTATGCTCACAATCACCGAGCTACTAGCTCGGTTTTTATTTTAAATTTTTTTATTGCAATTTATATATATATATATATATTGTAACTAAATCACATGGGAGAAGCTCCACAGGACCCTCTGTTGGTAGCTCATTTACTTTTTATCGTAGTAAAATGATTTTTTTTAATAAGAAAAATAAAGCAAAAAAGTCTTCTTTGAAGACAACCACCAAACTGGAGGTTGTATAATTCCACAATTACTGTGAATTGAGAGTTGGGGCATACACCCACCAAAAATAAAATAGAATAAAAAACACCATAACTGAGTAAGTATAAAAAACGAAAAGTAAAAATCAAAATTAAAAGGTGTAATTAATAACACAAGAATTTTTAAATATTCATTTTAAATTTCTTTCATCTCTCACTACTATATAAACACTACCATATAAAGAGATTCTATAATCCTGTATTATAAATGCAACTTGTTCTTTTAGACCAGAATTATAAACATACCTTACATACTTCCTCCTATTTATCTTGTTTTTAGGCAAAAGAGTCGTCATTAGTTTTTTTCTTGTCTAATTAAGGCTATGTTTTGTTTTAATGGAAAACATTATTTATTTATTTATATATTTAATTGTTATCTTAAAATTAATGTTTAATGATTGTATTAGTGGTGAGATAGTGGTGGTTATGATGAGGTAGTGGAGATGGAGTTGGTAGTGAGGGAAGATGGTAGTGAAACAGTTTAATTAGTTTGTAATTGTATCAGTTGTTATTTATTGTGAGTTCATTTGTCTTGTAACTTAGTGACTCTCTTTACCACTCCCTCATAAATAAGTTAGTATAAAATGTACTTTGAATAATAAAAAAAAACTAGCCCATTTCAAAAATAAACATACTAGAGATTCTAAAAAAATATCAAAAATTTTACTTAATTTCAAATGGAAATTGTGTATGGAAGTAGTAAATGAGCAAGTGGTACAAATTATTTTATTATTTTTGGGAAGATGAAATTTTAGTTAAAATGTCAAAAAGTTAAATAATTTTTTTTTCTTTTCTTTATTTTTTTACGTTTTTTTTATATAAAAATATCAAAAAATCATTTCCAATTTTTTTTTAATATTTTCACCTCTTATTATAATAAAAAAATTATTTAAAAAGCCACATCCAAACAAACCTCTATCTTTTCCTTTGAATCATTTTTCATTCTTTCGAGAAATTATGGGCTCGTTTGGTTTGATTTTCTGAAAAAATTTTGGGAAATTTTCTCTACAAACAAGTTTTCAAAAATAATCAAACCAAACAAATTTTTCCAAAAAAATTTCTCAAAACTTGTAAACCAAACAAGTTTTCCAAACAAATCTCTCTCTCACACACATCAAATCAATCACTTTTTCCAAAACTCTATCTCAAAATAATTTTCCAAAACATCTTTTAAAAAAAACAAACCAAACATGTTTTCGTACTTTTTATCTCTAAAACACATCTCTCAGTTAGTATAAAATGTACTTTGAATAATAAAAAAAAACTAGCCCATTTCAAAAATAAACATACTAGAGATTCTAAAAAAATATCAAAAATTTTACTTAATTTCAAATGGAAATTGTGTATGGAAGTAGTAAATGAGCAAGTGGTACAAATTATTTTATTATTTTTGGGAAGATGAAATTTTAGTTAAAATGTCAAAAAGTTAAATAATTTTTTTTTCTTTTCTTTATTTTTTTACGTTTTTTTTATATAAAAATATCAAAAAATCATTTCCAATTTTTTTTTTAATATTTTCACCTCTTATTATAATAAAAAAATTATTTAAAAAGCCACGTCCAAACAAACCTCTATCTTTTCCTTTGAATCATTTTTCATTCTTTCGAGAAATTATAATCACGGAAGAAAATTTCTTCATACTTTTTAAATCATAATTACAAAAAAAAAATCATAATAAAATATTTTAAAATAATAATTATAATTAAATAAGAAAATAGTATAATTAAAAATATAATAGAATTGTTCTCATTTTTATCAACTGAAATGAAAGCCTCTAAAATTCCACGTCATACCGCCAATCACACGCGGTGAAACCTGATAGGCCAAGGCCTCGTGGCATTGCGTCGCGAAAAAGCTCTTGGGATCTACCTGATCTGCATCTGCTCAACCCGAGAAATCAATAAAAACCCTAGACACTGTTAAGCCCTGTTCCGCCATCACCATCACCATCACAATTCTCTGTTGGGTTGGGGTTTCAGATCTTCGTATTTAAACACGTGAGTAAAATTTGATCTGAGACCCTCATTTCGTATTTTTTCAACTTCATAATCGATACTTCCTATATGATGCATTGTGATCTGAATTTTAGTCTTTGATCTGATCTGATCTGATGGTTTGTGGTGAATTTTCTTTTCTTAAATTACTTGCCTTTATTCGTCTGGTTAATTTCTATCTCATGGAATTTTATTGGATCGAGCTTAGATTTGTATTTTATTATTGTATCTTTGTTTTGAATATATATATATATATATGTATCTATCTGTAAATATTACTGTTTTATAATTTTGGGTTCTGTTTGGTTGCTGAGAAATTTTGGCAACTACAAAGTACTGTCATGGAATTTGCGGTTTTGGGTTGGGTTTTTATGAAAATGAAAAAAAACTGACTTCTAATGAGCTGGGTGGTTGCTTTTGGGGGGGCACAGTTGAGTGGAGGTTTCCGATTTAATTGTTGAATAAACCGATATGGAATTGAATTGCTTATACCAAATTTGAGGATCAAAAATGGATTCTGAGATCTTGAGACAGTATATATATATATATATGTTTGTGCATGTGTAAGTGTGTTTTCGGTGAGAAATTCGTGGTACCCTCCGACTATGGACTAGTTCTTTTTGGCGAGCCTTAGTTTTGTCTTATTTTGATCTTATATGGGCTTCTGGCTAGCTATTCACTTTTTTTGCTTGTGAAGAACTGATAATTCTTCGAAGGCATCCAGCTGCAATTTGTTTTGCATCTTTGCTTATATGTTTTATGGCAGTTTTAGACTAATATTTGTTGTATGTTTGATATGCAATTTGTGTAATGAGAATTGAACTGGAATTGTATATTGGAATGTGGTACTCTTGATAATGTGATTATGATCACACAAGGAAGCCAAATGTTGTTTATCCCATTTGGTAAGGAAATGTTTCAGTTTTGTACGCATCGGACTATCTTGTATCCCTATTGGCATGCATGGTTATTGGAAAAATGTGGCCTTATTTGATAATTGAGAGCCTCGTCATCGCTTTCAACCTGAATAAGTTCATGTATTGGATGGTGACAATGCTAGTATATATTACTTTTAGCCTTTTAGTTATTAATTTGAATTATGATTGTGGCTTACACATCTTGGCAAAGAGATGCTCAGCCTTTACCTTGACAATTGGCATTGGAATTTGATTATGAAGTCCCAGGCATGATGATGCGTCGATAGAAATTCATCACCACGGCCCATAAGGTTGTCATAATCTGTTGAGTTTCAGAAAGACTTTGTTGAGGCTCATATTGGTCTCTTTCTGTGTTTATCCAGCAGCTGAAGTAAACCTAGGGTATCAATCATGTGAAAATCATTATTGCTTTTGTATATGTTCCACATGGAATGCACAATGTTAAGTGAAATCTCAGAATATGGAAGTTTTACGATTATGTTTAATGCACTTGCTAAAGTTTACGTCATGGGTTTTTCTTGCTATGTTGGGTTAGTTCATTTAGCCTCTTTTTTTCCCCCTAGAGAAATTTTGTTGCTATTTTATAAGGATGCTTGCTGGGAATTCTATGTTTAATCAACCCTAGTTGTAAGTGGAACTTTGGTTTTCAATGTTACTAGATAATTATCTATTGCATTTCTTGTTGAGTTGGCATTTGCATCTAAATTGTTAGTTACATATTTACAAATGGCTGGAAGCAGGTTGGAGTAACTGTTTTTCTGGCTAAAAAATGGGAGGAGGATTTAGAGTGCTGCATCTGGTCAGACCATTTTTATCATTTCTGCCAGAAGTTCAGAGTGCTGACAGGAAGATTCCCTTTAGAGAAAAGGTCATATACACCGTCATTTCTCTTTTCATCTTTCTGGTTTGCAGTCAGCTCCCTCTATATGGCATACACTCTACAACAGGTGCAGACCCTTTCTATTGGATGCGTGTTATTCTTGCTTCAAACCGTGGAACTGTCATGGAACTGGGGATCACTCCTATCGTGACTTCTGGTCTGGTGATGCAACTCTTAGCTGGGTCAAAGATCATTGAGGTGGACAACAGTGTCCGTGAAGATCGTGCACTCCTGTGGGTATCTTAACTCCTAGTTATTTTTTGTGATTGTCTGTCGCTGGTTGTAGCAATTAGTAGAAAGATTTTATTGCCAAAATTGGTTGCCCTCTTATCTGATTATGTTGTATACATCGGGTCTTTCACCTTTGTTTGTAAATTGCTAACTTGCTGCTTCTCCCATGTTGCTTTAGATGATTAAGTTTGATTCAACTTTACTCGAGTGCCTACTAGTTAGTGAATCATGTTGTAAATATACTTGACTTAGTGAATCATGTTGTAAATATACTTGACTTATCTCTGCTGTCCTTTCCAGAAATGGTGCACAGAAGTTGCTGGGAATCCTGATTGCCGTTGGTGAGGCTGTTGCCTATGTTCTGTCAGGAATGTACGGAAGTGTCGGCCAACTTGGTGTTGGGAATGCTATTCTCATTATTATTCAGCTTTGCTTTGCTGGAATCATTGTTATATGCTTAGATGAACTTCTCCAGAAGGGATATGGTCTTGGATCTGGGATTTCCCTTTTCATAGCTACCAATATCTGGTAAACTGCTGCCGCCTCTTCCATTTTAAGCTTTGGTGTTTGATACTTCTGGATAATGGATAGTGTCCTAATTTTTTGGTTTATTTGCAGTGAGAATATAATCTGGAAAGCATTTAGCCCCACAACTATCAACAGTGGCCGTGGTGCTGAATTTGAAGGTGCTGTTATTGCTTTGTTCCATCTACTGATTACTAGGACAGATAAAGTTCGTGCTCTCCGGGAAGCTTTCTACCGGCAGAACCTTCCAAATGTGACAAATCTGCTTGCGACTGTCCTGATCTTCCTTATTGTTATCTACTTCCAAGGTTTCCGTGTTGTTTTGCCTGTGAGATCCAAAAATGCACGTGGACAACAGGGTTCTTATCCAATTAAGCTATTTTACACATCGAACATGCCCATCATTCTTCAATCTGCACTTGTATCCAATCTTTATTTCATCTCTCAGGTTTGGAGCTTTATATGTGCGAGTGGAATTGTAGGATCTTATTTTTTTCCCTTACCGTTGTGAAAATATAAATACCATTCTCTCTATGTACAGTTGCTACATAGGAAGTACAGTGGAAATTTCTTGGTAAATCTATTGGGTAAGTGGAAGGAATCTGAATATTCAGGCCAGTCTATCCCAGTTGGTGGTCTTGCTTACTATGTCACTGCACCATCAAGGTATTAATGCCTTTCCTCCATATTTTTTGACCATTTGATTTCTCTCCATCCATCATTTCCATATTAAATGGGCATGATAATCTTCCAGAATACACACACACACACACACACATTCCTCAATCTTTTGTTTCCTCTTGGTTTCACTGATGCCTGGTTTCTCTTTAACCAATGTGGTAAAATTTCAGCTTGGCAGACATGGCAGCCAATCCCTTTCATGCTCTCTTCTATTTAGTGTTCATGCTGTCAGCCTGTGCACTGTTCTCAAAAACTTGGATTGAGGTTTCTGGATCTTCTGCTAAAGATGTGGCCAAGCAACTTAAGGTGACATTAGATGAATGTTTAGATTTCTCATCTTATGCATTTTGTTATAATTTGCTGTATGTTATAATTGATTCTGCAAGCTGAGGTGAAGAAGAAGATTGGAACTTAGATGTATTGGTCTGAAAACAATTAGTAGAATGTTGATTCTGGAAAGAGGGATGAGAGAGAGAGAGAGGATGGAGGAGACTTAAAAGAGGGAGTGACCCAACTTGAATCCTTGTGCACTTCTCTTTCCCACCCTCTTTCAAATCAATCAACCTGGATTTGAAATTTAGGCACGGTAGTGGATTTTGTAGCAAGTCATGTAGCATTTGAAAAAACAAAGTCACCATGAGTTCTGATCATAGCCATGTAGCATTAAAAATAAGTCATGGCAAGTTATGATTTCTATTTACTGTTAAATTGATAGTAATCTGATGCATTCTTGTATATGGTTCTGCATGCCTAATTGGAAACATATGATTGATCTGGTAGTGATTGAGCGAATGAATTTGTGCTCAATATATTATTAAGCAGACACTGTTAGCAACTTTAAAAACAAATCACTGAACTTGTTAATAGCCTAGTGTTGGTGAGTCAAGCTCTTTATTATGAACAATTAAACTTTGAAAATGAGTTATCTACTTGTGATATTTAATTCTTTTTGTGGTTACTTTTGCAGGAGCAACAAATGGTGATGCCTGGACATCGGGATTCAAATTTACAGAAGGAATTGAATCGGTATATCCCTACTGCAGCGGCGTTTGGGGGAATGTGCATTGGTGCCTTAACCGTGTTGGCCGATTTCATGGGAGCAATTGGTTCGGGGACAGGAATTCTACTTGCGGTTACAATCATATATCAGTACTTTGAGACATTTGAGAAGGAGAAGGCCAGTGAGCTGGGTATCTTTGGCTTTTAAGATCTAGTGGTTTTTCTTGGATGATGATGACAGTGACAATGAGTTCGATTGCAGCTTAGGTCGAGCTGAGAGATCAATGTAGTGTTTGACCTTTGTTGAAATTTTACTTAGCAACTTGACTACTTGTTTACTTGTGAAATTTCAAAATGTTAGGAAATACATGGAGGCAAACTAACAGCTGTTTTGGCAAAAAACAATTTTCTTCTTTTGACTTACTGGTGTTTGTGTTCTCTCTCTCTCTCTCTCTCTCGCTCACACACACACACACAAAAACACATTTTTCCTTCTTTTTCTGCTTTTGCAAGATCAAATTAGATTGATAATAATTTTATCATTTTGAATACAAATATGAAGAAATTATTTCGAATACAAATATTAAAATGTAAAGAAATTATGATTACGTTTATCATATCAATTTGTTTGAATGAATGATCACATATAATAGCGTTTAAAATAAATGACTCAAATCAAGGGTGTGGGTCTAGTCAACTGTGTGAACCAGGGATGAGCTTACCGTTCTTTTTAAATGAGCATTTTTTTGTTTGTCAAAATCATTTGAAACTCCTCTCCTTTATGTGCCAACTTGTCAATCCCCCAGCACTTGAAGCTCCCTCCTTGTTGAAAAAGAGTGTGGAAAAATATTCCCCAAGTTTGATTGTATATGAAATGGATTATATGTATATATTGTCGAATAATTTATATTATGTTTGATTAGAATAAGATATAATATGGGATAGAAGAGATGATAACTCATATCTTATAATAGGGGATATGCAATAATATGGGGAGTGGTATATAATATATTACCGGATTTCATATCCACCCACTAATCAAATAAATAATATAAAAAAAGTGAAAATCACATGTTTTTCTCTCTCCTATATCCGGTCAAAGGAGTTTATCCCTATTATATACCTTAATCAAATAGACATAAACAGTTAATGTTGCACTCATCATTTTTTATTTGTGTTAAAATAATATTTGAACAATGACAAAAAAACTTAAGCCCTAATTTGAAAACAACTGTGGGAGAAAAGTAACTGTATTACTGTATAATAATATTGCAAAATACATAAATAGGCTCTCACTTGGAAACAACATGCTAGAAAAGTAAAGGTATTCATACTTGAGTAGCTAGCTACTTCAATTATACGTATTCAAGACACAAGCAACAATGCAATTATGAAAATATTGTTCTCGTCCTCTTTGTTTGTGTTAGAGAGTACAAATAAATAGATGTGATTGTGGCCCCAAAGGAAGGATAAATTGTTGCCAAGATGATTTCACTTCAATTTTTATATCTATCTATATACATATTTTAATGTTGAGATCAATCAGAATGAGAGAGAGGTAGTTGTTCATGATAGAAAAATGCCATGTGGTGTATATCTTTTATTTGACTAGGTTGGACATTAGAGAAAAATAATTAGATATTTGTCAGACAAAATTTACTTATTTATTTCATTTCTGTTTCCCTTCAAATTCCTTTTTCCTTTCAAATCCAAGAAGATCTAAACATAATTGAAATTGAAGACAACTTTCTCTTGTAAGCCTTAGGAAATAAAGTAAAGTGTACAAAGCATGTATAAGAACATAATTATGGCATGGATTACACATTTGTTTAATTGCTTTGTGTTCGAATATAGCATTATGTTTCTCTGTCTTGTGGAGCAATGCATCAACTGCAGATATTATTTGAGTTGTGACCTTATTGATGATATTTTCAGTCAATTAAAAATCGCAACACATATTAAGTGAATTATTTATTGTCTCTTAATTACTTGACATAGGTGAGTCACTATCTCCTCTCTGTAAAAATTTTCGCTATGTGATTGGTTTAAAACATAAAATGCCACGTAATATTTCAAAAATACCTAATAATTATCTTGATAAAAGTTCGATATCAGTACTTGTTGCACTCTAGTATACTTCAATCCCAAGTTAATACTATACCAACATTGAAGCCTAACTCTTAAATTTGATCTTCTAAACTAAGCAAATGTGCAATCAATGTTTCGTGCTAAATTTGTGTCTTTTTGTCTCAAAATACTTATATAGTAGATGGAGCATATTTCAAGATTTTCGTATTTCAAAATTATAACGTAATCTAACATTTGTGTTTGTTTTGAAACAAAAAAGTCATAGATTTTGATTAAAAAAAATCCTTAGCCATGTTGGTGTGACCCTCTTGAGGTTGGTACTAAATACTCTTATTATTGAATCTCCACTATAACTCTAAATCAAATATTTTGAGTCTACTAATGACACTTCCGATGATATTGTTTTTAAATTTTATACAAATTTATTTAATATACTATTCTAGTGTTCCTAAAAAACGAAAAAGAAAAATTCATCAAATCCCAAAAAATTTTAAAAGACGAACACTAGAATGAACATAATTAAGTTTTGACAAACACTATAATGAGTTATAATCAAAATAAAAATTATAAAAGATTGTAACTAAGTCATAATTAATATTAAAATGAGTCATAATCAAATCATAATCAACATTACAGCGAGTCAAAACCACCAACCACAAAGATCATAATTGGACCCCAGAAAGGATGTGTGTTATGGAATTTCCCTTCATTGTTTAGAGACAACAAATAAAATAAAAAATGTTATGATTATCGAATTAACCTAAATTTCTTTTATAAATAATTAACAAGAAATATCTTATAAAATAAATTATTCAAATTATTAAAATAAGATTCATGGTACGTGCCATGGCCCCCGTTTTTGAGAGAAGCCCATTCTTTTTTTTTCTTTTTTTTTTTGAATGAATGAATTCCATGTATTTGTGTTGAGTGACAAAAAAAAATAATAATAAAGTAAAAAAATCATTTATATATATATATATCATTTTTCTTAAAAAATAGAGTGCACATATATACATAATTTGAAATCATGAATATGTAACAAACAGTCGGCATCTTTGATCTTCTTTTCCCGCGCTTCAAATCTTGCTTTGCCCACTTCCATCTCCTGCTTCAACCTCAGATTCCTAGCTCTCTCTCGCTCTCAAACTCATTCTCATACTCTGATTTCCCAAAACCCAGATGGATTCATTGAAACCCAATTCAGCTCCAACAAAGAACAAGTTATCCAAGACACTCCACAAAGTTATCCACCTTACAGCACCCCCAAAATGTAGATGTAGAACAACCAATGCCTTCTGTCTCCCCATACCTCAAGAACACAAACCCAAAATCGATCCAACCCACAATTCTCAATCTTTCAACAATTCCCACAACAATGAATCAACAATGTCTCGAAACAGAGCAGCCATGGAAGCTTTCATCGCCAAGCTTTTTGCCATCGTTTCAGCCTTCAAAGCCGCCTATGCTGAGTTACAAATGGCTCAGTTTCCTTACGACAGTGAAGCTGTTCACTCAGCTGATGAAGCTGTAGTGGTTGAATTGAAAACGCTTTCGGAGCTGAAACAGAGCTTTTTGAGGAAACAGATCGATTCTTCACCGCCTCATGTGACGATGTTGCTAGCTGAGATTCAAGAGCAGCAGAGCTTGATGAAGATGTATGATATTACTATGAAAAAATTGCAATCTGAATTGGAAACAAAAGTGAATAGTATTTGTGCTCTTGAAGAAGTGCTTAATGAAGTAATTTCCAATAACAATGCGATCGAGAAGAGACTGCGCTTGAGCGGGCAATTTTCGGTGCTTGATGGTATAAAATTGTGTGAAACTAATTGGAATCCGAATCCCAATTGTTTCAACATGGTTTTACAGTACTGTTTGAGATGTGTTCGATCTTTTGTGAAGCTGATGCTTCGAGAAATGGAGTCTGCGAATTGGGATTTAGAGGCTGCTGCGAATGCGATTGTGCCCGAAGCAGTGTTTTCGAAAGCAAATCACAGATGTTTCGCTTTCGAATCGTTTGTTTGCAGAGAAATGTTCGATGGTTTCCATTCTCACAACTTTTCTCTTCCAAATGATCAGTCAATACGTAGATTGGTCTTTGTTGATCGGTTTGAGAAATTGAAGGCAGTGAATCCAATTCGTTATCTAAAAAACAACCCAAATTCAGCATTTGGGAAGTTCACAAGGAGCAAGTACCTCCGTTTGGTTCACCCGAAAATGGAGACCTCATTTTCAGGGAATTTGAGACAGAGAAAGCTGATCAATTCCGGGGATCAGTACCCAGAATCTTCATTCTTCGCAGCATTTGCCGAGATGGCAAAGCGGGTTTGGCTTTTGCATTGCTTGGCTTTCTCGTTTGATCAAGAAGTGAACATCTTTCAAGTTGGAAAGAATTGTAGATTTTCGGAGATGTACATGGAAAGTGTGACCGACGAGGTGTTTGCGTCGGCAGAGGAGGACGGTGGTGATGGCAGTTTGAGGGTGGTGTTTACGGTGGTTCCGGGGTTTAAGATCGGAAAAACACTGTTCCAAAGTCAGGTATATCTATTTCCGGTGGGAACTCCAGTGAACGGTTGATGCTATTTTACTTGGTACTTTTTATAAAAATTTTTAAGTTTTTATATTATCAAACCTTGCAAACTTGATTAATGTACTAACTTTTGTAATCAAATCGAAGGAAAAAAGGTCCAATTTCGTTTCTGGCAAGGGAGGAAGATATCGAGAAAATTTTACCATTCATCATCCAGCCAGGTCATCCCCAACCCAATCTGCAGGGGGAGATTAACTTTGGTGCCCAACAATGATTCATCCCTCCTTTTCTCCCCACCCCCTTTGACCCTCTCTCTCTCTCTCATTGGTTACATTTTCTTTTTCTTTTTCTTTTTTTTCCTGCTCCTCCAATCACCACCCGCCACGTGGCAAGGGGGGGTGAGGGGGTGACCCCCAAAAGGGGGTCCCAAGCATTATTCCTTTGGTGCCTCTCCCCTTCGGCATTTCCAACTTCGCCCCAACACCTACTCCCCTCCCCTGGTTGCGACTCCCCTTTTTTCAATTATCATTCCTCGTGTTATCATCACCGGCTGGATGAGAGGGTTCAAGAATATTATCGAAGAATTCAAAAATCTTCGAAGATCGTAGGAAAATTCGAATTCTTTAGAAATGATGAGAGACTTAGATTCTTTAACGGTCCCAACTAGGAACAAAATAGTAAAGAGATGATGGAGATAAGAGATTAGGTGAAGAAGAAGGCATAATAGTTACAGAGAGAACAATGACAAGGCTCCCATAGATCTCCTACTTTCACTTTTAAAGAGATTATAGAGAAGAGAAATTAATTCTTTTTCAAGAGTTGTCTCTCCAAAATTCATCCATTATAAAGCTATGGGTGAATACTATTTATAGGCACTTCATGATGTAGGATGGAGTTCATGTGCACATGGAGAATATTCCCTCTGACAACCTTATTTGAAGAGGTGACCTCTCCGAAGATAAGAAAAAAACTCTGAAGAGGAGATCAATCCCTCAGCGAACCCTTCTTCTTAACCACACCAAACCAATAATTTCCAATCATCCCAAAGGGCCGAGGTAGTCCTAAAGGACCCCCGCCACTAATATTGGCGAGTGTCGTGAACCTTTCAGGGTCGTGCCATCTTGACCTAGGTATAGGCAAAATTAACTAATGGGTAAATTTATCTCCACCCACCGTCCTCGGGATTCGGGTCCTTTGTTTGGACTCTAACCTCACTTATGATTCTTGTGGGTTGATCCCGGAATGCTCCAAGTCCAAAAATGTTCTGAAACTCACCAATGGAGCGGCTTCTAGAGTTCAATCAAGTCCGTTCGAAATCTGAATGCCTCGAATCTCTAAGTTTGCTCAATACCTTTTTGAATTCAAACCTGAATAAGTCTCCAAATTCGTGAATCCAAACCCTTTTAAGGCTAGAGCCATCTGACCTGCTTGATAACGATAAATCCAAACCCACCAATTTGGGACTTTTTGATTGGGCTAATTAATTTTAATAGGCTGACTTGACGACTCCTACACCTGCAAACCATTTTGCAACTAGCTTATCCACTGTACTTGCATCAAAGTTTTAAATATCAACCGATACCCAACATAGCTCCCCTGGTTGATGTTACGTTATTCTTTGATTCATCGTCTCATTATTACGTCTTACCTCTTCTCTAGAGCATTCAGTGGACCTGCATCTGGGTCATCACCATCACATCATCTCAAATTTCATAAAACATTGCACATGCCCCTTTCTGTCAAAGGTTTGTCATTCATCAAGCAATAAATTGGACCGACCAGCAAATAAAGAATTCAAGGCGTAAATTCTATCAGATTTACAGAATTTAAATAATTTAATGAATTGGGCTGAGTAACGACATTAACAAAAATTCCACTCAAAAGGGCAAAAAAGAAAAAAACAAAAAACGCAACTGTGTACAGTCAGTTCTAATCCAATAAGGCAATTCAACAAGCTGAAGTATGGCCTATGTCACTATCAGAAACTTCGATTTTCCTATGTCACTATCAGAACTCCGATTTCCTTCCCCTCTTAATCACAGGAAATCCAATCTGCTGATGGTCCGAGCAGAACATCAACAAAAGGCTATACAGTGTTTTCTTCCATGAATTTCTTTCCAAACAAACAAAAAACAGAAATGGAATCGCTACCTTGGCGTGCACGATATTTATCCAGAATGGATTGATGGAAGAGGCAAACTGAAGTTTTTCAACACGGGAAAGCCACAAATAGTAACAACCTTCAAGGCGTGCTTCGAGTCCCAACTTCTGTTGATGGTGGAGGGCCTGACTCTTCGGCTAGAGCTTCAAGCATTGTTATGACCTCATTTGGATCATCCAAATAGTACTTGGCCTTACTTGGTTTCTGTCCAACCGTGCAAGCAAACACTGATGTATTAGAGGAGAGGACACCGCTGTTCATTGCATTGCCAATGATCTCAAACATATCCTCATCGGATCTGTCGTCACCAATACACAGTACGAAATCAGCTTGCCTTCCACTCTCGGCCATTGATGTGAAGATCTTCTCTGCAACTAGGCCTTTACTCACTCCCTAAAACCATAGCCAATGATCGATGATTCAAACAACAAATTGACAAAAGTATAACAGCTAAGCATATATTCAAACTTCAAATACAAAGACAGGAAGACTACAGTAGCAATGTCTTGGCAGAAATTGCATTTATTAGATTGTGATGAAATGACACAATCAAATCAGACATCTCTTATTCTCATCCATACTTGGTTAGAAATGAAGAATATAAAATTAGTAGTAAGCGGGCCATGGGAAGACTAATGGTCATTGCTACATGTAACATCATAGGATCCTTATCTTGTGATGCAAGCACACCATTTGTAAGGAGACTATGATGGATTGTCAAGATAAAAATAAAGGCAGAGCCAATGGGTGAATAGTATCTATTCATAAAAGGAAGGCCAACTATACAACAAATGGTAAATTGTTGTTTAAAATAAAAAAAATAAAAATAAATTGTCATCTTGGTTTTGCCATAACACAAAATTAGAGCGATTTATCAGGATATTTGAGTAGATTGTGATTCTCACTATGTTTCTTACTATTTACATGATTTTCATGTTTATATAAAACTAGATAAAGGTACTGTCAGTCTGTAAGATAAATAGGCATTGATTAAATTGAAATGATAATCCTAAAGACTGCCTAAAATCTTTGCTTACATACTGTTTATAAGAAGAAAGTCTCAATAAATAAAAAACCTAAAAACAAAACATGCAACTGTTGGCACATGCTACTGGATTACATCAAATGGCATAAAGGTTTGAAGTTTTGGGGCCCAATAATAGATCTGCTGAGGTGACCCTTTTGTTGGCCCAAAATGGACCATTTCTATTTAGCACTGAAGATTGAAGAAGAAAATCATCAGCAGGTTACAAAATAAGGTTGTATTTTTGGCTCATTGCAGGACTGTTATTTGTCCAAAGTAAAATTTTTGTTCTAAAAACAACTATAATGAAATATGAAGCATCATTCATCAATGAAAGAACTATGAACATCAAACCACTTTTTGACAACTTGGAAGTTCTCGGGTGTCCACGCAAGTTGGGGATGAGTATCAGAATAAATGCTCAAATGATATCATTTCCACAGATGTCATCAGTTGTCAGGAATAGAAGAAACAAAGTTTGAGAGCTAATAAATATCCTCCAAGAACCTTCAATTTCTTCCTTTTCTGTGTCATGGTCTTACATTAGGTGAAAAAATTAGAAATAATTGTTATATCAAACAGTGGTGCTACATGTACCAATTAATATACACACTAGTATACCAACTAGTAGTATGCCATTATTATTGACCCCACCTATTATACAAATTACATATACCCAAAACTTCTAAAATTATGCCATATCATCTGTCAGAATACTAGTTAGTACATTAATTAGTACATATAGCATTATCCTATATCAAATTAGGAGAACTAATTATGATCACGTATTAAATGTAAACTACTCCAATTGTCAACAATATTCTTTCCACCAATGTCATGCTAGGTAACGGAAGTAAACTTGGCAACCATTTTTAAAAATATTTACTTTTAATTACCCTTCATCTAAACGTGCCCATGTATTTCAAAACAAAGCAGGGTCATAGCCATGAATACCTTAACAGTTCTTCTAGGAAGAAAGAAACCGAACACAAAACTGGACACAATCCTCTCATATGGGCTCACAAGAAAGTATGACCCACCTCATGTGAGAGGGTTGTGTCCAATTTTGTGATTAGTTTCTATGTTACTAGACTTTTTCATCCCCTGAAGGGTAGTGCCATCAATAGTTGGTGCAAAGAATAATAAAAGGTTGTGTAGCCAAGAAAACCAAGAAACTGTTCACATGGTTCCAAAAAAAAAAAAAAAAAAAAAAAAAAAAAAAACCTTTAAAAAAAAAAAAAAAAAAACAAAGAAGCCTTGAAAAAGAAACAAGATCATTGGAGATGAATTAACGAGCAGAAATTCTAGATATGAATTGCGAGCACAAGAAAATTACATACCTGAGGTTTCACTTCAACAATGAACTGGCCACTTTTCACTACTACAGGTTCATTTGCGAGCACGCTTTCAAGATGGTCTAACATCTCCTTGGCCTGGCTGGATCCAAAACCTGGATCTGCATCCTGATGGTGCCAAACCAATGCGCTCTCCTTTGTTTCAATGGAAGAACCATCAGTAGCTTCTGTATATAACTTCATGACAGGCTCAGCTATCTGCATCCACCCAAAATCGCTGCTCTGCCCACAAACTTCCCATGCCTTGCCCTCAGACCACCTGAAATATAATGCAATTAAGAGACAGATGAGGGAAATGGGTAAGCATAAGAACAAAACAAGTAAAGAAATAGCATACCTCATGAAGTATCCGTGTTCAGCTGCAATACCAAGTTCCTTGCATGGAGTAAACCACTTGCCTAAACTTTCCCTTCCACGTCCACTTACAACAAAAACCGTATTTTTAACATCACCACTGAGTGTGTTTATAATCGAAATAACCTCCTGACTGGGGGTCTTGATGATGGATGTCTGAGGCATCACAGTGCCATCATAATCCAACAATATGGCCCTGTTTTGAGCTTTTGAATAAGCAGTTACAATAGCATCTATAGACAATTTTCTGAAATTAGGATCAAGTGCTACAACTCTGAAACCAAAGCTCAAACCAATCCCCCAACACCGTCGCCTGAAATGGTCCTTGCAAGTTCTCTCCATATCTTGGAAAAAACTTTGTGACCAATATGCTACATCATGTGTGCTAACATACCTATAATGCTTCTCATGACGCAACGATTTTTCAGCATCGGTCATTGAAATTGCCTCGTTCATTGCTTCAGCTGTTGCTTCAACATTCCATGGGTTGACCCGTACAGCACCACTCAATGAAGGAGAACATCCAATGAACTCTGATACTACTAGCATGCTCTTTTTGGGCCCATCTGATTCTGAACTAGAATCAGCTCCAGAGATTCCTTGCCGGCACACAATATACTCATACGGAGTAAGGTTCATGCCATCCCTCACAGCTGTGACAACAACACACTCAGCAATGGTATAATATGCAACTCGTTCAGCGAGAGAAACTGGCCTATCAATGAAGACAATTGGTTCGTAACCAGGCCGCCCAAAAGTCTCATTAATTCTCTTGGAACTTGCCTGTATTTCAGCTTGTATTTCCTCCAGATCTTTCCCTCTTCCCCGAGCAGGATTTGCAATCTGTACCAGTACTGCCCTCCCCTGCCACTTCGGGTGCTGCTTGAGCATCTGTTCCATTGCCATAAGTTTCAGATTGACACCTTTGAAGATGTCCATATCATCAACCCCAAGCAACACGGTCTTTCCTTCGAATTGCTGCCTGAGCTCCCCAACCCTCCATTCCTTATCTGCATGTCTCAAAACAGACTCAATCTGCCCCATGTGGATCCCAACTGGCATGATCTTAATTCCAACTGTTCTTCCATAGTACTCCAACCCAATGTAACCCCTCTTCGACTGGTACTCCAAGCCAAGCATCCGACTACAACAAGAAAGGAAATGGCGAGCATAGTCAAAGGTGTGAAAACCTATAAGGTCTGAATTTAATAGTGCCTTGAGAATCTCCTCTCTTACAGGTAGAGTCCTATAGATTTCTGATGAAGGAAATGGACTATGGAGAAAGAACCCCATTCGCAACCGATTGAAACGCCTCCTTAGGAAAGTGGGCAGAACCATCAAATGATAATCATGAATCCAAACATAGTCATCATCCGGGTTTATCACCTCAATCACTCTCTGTGAGAAAATCTTATTTGCAGCCACGTAGGCCTCCCATAAGGACCGATCAAATCGACCCCCATGACTCGCAGAGAAAGGGAGCATTAATACATGTTCGGCCACAAATGCTGCTTGCAAAAGCCATGATAATATCTCGCCAAAATGTCCGGAGGCAAAAAAGCTGGGACACACTTAAACCTGTCCAATAATAGCTGCGACACATCATCTTGTTCGTTCGGGTCTACCTCAACTCTCAAAGACCCGACATAAATAACCTCCATATCATCTGGCAAACCATCCTTAATGTGTAATAACAAGGAATCCTCATCCCAACTAAAACTCCACCCTTTATTATCCGGTCTACGCTTAGCTTTCACCGGAAGCTGATTAGCCACAATAATTACTCGATCCACAACCAACGACGATTGGACATCCGATGTCACACTATTCGCCTGATCATCATCAAGCTCAGATATAACCCCCGGTACAGTCATTACCCGGGGAAGGCGCTTCTTTTCGCGCCCCATCACGGGAAAATTCCCCGATGCTAGATCTAATAGATTGGTATACGATCTGGACATCATTTTTACAACTTTTTTATGAACAAATTCCTTCACAATGTCTTCAAATCACAAACCCAAACCCCAGATTGCGTTTTGAGTTAAAACCAAGTATATAATTGTGCACGATCTGAAATGGGTATATCGAAAACAATAAGATCATCACATTGACTAGAAGCTTAAGATCAAAGAAATGAATAGATCCATGTAATCAAACAGAAACGCATATGTAAGTGTAGTAAAAATGATCAATTTTTTTATAAATAAAGTCCACCACCAATACAACACAATTTATATGCACAAATACTAGATATCAAAGCAAAAACAAAATATGTATAATCATCAAATAGAGACTAAACAAACTGAGAAAAATGGGAAAATTGAAACTCACCTGGGTGTGTAATGATTCAAAAAACTGAGTTTTTTCAGGATCTGAAAGTTTTAAATCCAACAAATAAAAAGAATATTTCTTTGTTTTCAGTCAGAACTAATCTAGGGTTTGCTCTCTCTCTAGAATTTCTATATCTGCCTTCTCTGCTCTTCTCTTCTCTTCTCCCTCTCTCTATAATAATTTTCTCTCTATCCTTCTCTCTCTACAATTTGCTTATTCTTTTGAGAAAAAAATGCAAAATTTTTTTTTAAAAAAAAATGAAAAAGAAAATAAAGAAAAGAGGATAAGGTCGGACAGCAGACACATCCAGTGGTGCCAGCTGGCACAGATGTGGTTTTTAGTCACGCGTTAATTTTTCTGGGGCGTGGGCACGTGTCGTTTGACCAACAAATCCACGTGTCGGTTGATCGCACCGTTAATCCGGTACCTTGCTGCACCACGGTTAAAACCGTACGGATTTTGGGCCCACCTGAGGGCCCCACCAATCAATAGATAGTATTTATCCACTAGACCGACACATCGAGTGCTTTATTCAGCGCTAAAAGCGGTTACATTACCCATAGAGTTGTGACACGTCGACAACATTAGATAGATGAGACGCTTGGGGATAAATGAGGCGAAAGCGACACGGCTATCTTGTGGTCCGCAGCGTACAGGAATATACCCTACGCCAACTCTTCGGTGGGGACCACGTCGGCGTGTCTCCAGGTGGCACACAAAGTTTTAACGGATAAGGAGCGAAATTGGGTGGAGTCAATTACACTATGCCTCGTTCAAAAAAGTAATTGTACTATGCCCCTTACGTTTGGTTATTTTTTCATTTTGATTTTTGAAAACAACAATTTCATGTTAGCTTTTAATTTTTTTAAAATTTACTCTTAAATTTAACTTCCATTAAAAATTTGACCAAAAAAATCATGTTAACTGACTTATAATATAAAAAAATATATCATTATATTAGAGTTTGAATTTGTATTAAAAGTGTGAGTTATATACATAAAATATTTTTATATTTATTTTCTATCTAATTTTAAACATAACAATAAATTAAGAAAAATTTAAAATATGTAAGACTCAAGTGAAAACAAATAAATTTTAAAAGGTTAAAGTGAAAAAATAATAAAATATAAAGGTAGGAAAGTGTAATTTAGCCAAATTGGGTAATACGGATTCGAAGTCGTCATCGGTGACGTCATTTTGCTTACGTGGCACAGTGTGGTTGGACTGTTGTAATTTGTCTTTGGGGGTATAGTTGGTGGTGTCCTCGTTTGGTGGGGTGCGTATTAATTTAAATACCGGGGCAACTGGATTTGTGTGAAATGACTTTTTAGGCCTTGTGCTTTTGCTTTATTGCACAATTGAGTGTGAAGTGGCGGGGGACAAATATGTAAATTAAAGTGTCAAAAAATGTAAATAAATAAACATAGGAATCCAGAGTATTCAAAACGTGTGTAGTGCGTTGTCTTTCTTTGACTCGTTGATCGTCTTTACCTAAGTTTTTGCACCCTAAAAAAAAAACATTAATCACGATGGTTTCAGAAAATTGAAACTATTTATTTAAAAAATTAATTTTTAATTTTTTAAATTTTTAATAATTTTTTTAGATACACTTAATCTAAACATACGTAATTTTTTTTTTAAAAAAAATTCACTAAATACAAAACATAAAAATATATGAAAATCAATATATTTTTGTATTTTGCTTGAAAGGGAGATTTATGGTCTGGTTTGGGCCGTGGAAATGGCCGGGCAGATTAGGGCCGAACAAGTTTGGGCCGCGGTGAAACAGGTCTATCTTGAAAGGTTTTGCTCGGTTAAGGCAAGGCGTGGTCGGACCGAGCTACGTAGCTCCATGGTGTAGAAGCCAGTGAAGTGGGATGACCGACGCCAGGGAAGGCGTGTAGGTCCCACGGTTCATGATTTAGCTCGGTAGGAAGGCCGGTGGCAAACTAGTATGAGCTGTCCCAAGCTCAGCTATGCCGGGATGCAGCCGAGCTCGGTCCTCAATGGGCTTGGTTATTGGAACGCTTGGGCTTGAAGTACAGCATGGCCGTTAGCAGCCGAGATACTGCAATCCGGCTGCCGAGCTCCCAGTAGAGTGGGCTGGCAGTTGGGATTAGGTAATGTTCAGCAAGATTTGCGCTGACAGATGGGATAGCAGCACCACGTGTCGAGAGACTAATGGGAGTAGATTTGGGGCGCAGAAGGTATATAAGGGAGTCTGCGCCCCCCCATACTAGACAGATGACATTTTGGTGAGAAAAACACTAAACACAATTCAATCCTCTCTCTCTCTCTCTATCCCTGTGTGTGTATCTAACTTGGTCGTCGGAGGGATTTTCTGGCCACACACCGCTGGGTAGCTCACCGCCGTTGCGCTCGCAGGTCGATCAGACAGACAAGAACTTGGAAGAAAGAAGTGCGGGCTTGCCTGGATATTTGCTCCCCGCACAATTGGAGCCGTCTGTGGGAATATTGCAGACAAAACCTTGTCTTCTAGGCTCATCTGATCGCCGTCCATGGCGAACAACGAAGAGATTCTGCTGTCCGCCGTCGACGGAGTTACCCCAGAGTCGGGCAGATGGAGAGAAAGACATCTCACCATCATTCCTCCGATGGTGGACCTGGAGACTGCTCCAGGAGGACACTCAGGAGACGCGCGCGATAAGCGCGGAAGAAGTTATGGTCATTCACGGAGTCCAGACGGTCATCGACGGTGAAGAGAATCGCCCGCCAGACGCCTGAAACACAAGCTAAGGGACCAGGACGCCGTCATCCGGCGAATGGCATCGGAGATGGAGGAGCTGAAGCGGCATATCAAAGGGAAGGGTGTAGCTGGGGGGGGGAGACCACAGTGAGCGCACCCACCCCCGCCGTTCAGGCAGTCAGAGTCAGCGGCACACTCCTTCCATTTCTGTCACCAGAAGTTACAAGGTTGGAGATTCCGACGTGCATGTAGAGAAATCCAGCGCGCAAGATAGCACTTACCAGCCCTCACGTCCGGTGACGACGTCGAGGTACTCTTATTCTGCTCAATCAGAGGATTTGCGGACAGTTTTAAAGGAATAGGCTCGTCGACGGGAGGTTCAGAGGGTGCCGGCATTCCAGCGGCTATCCTATGGGGTTCACGCTAGCGAAGAGGTCAGAATGCCTCCACCCCGCCCAGCCGCGCCTCTCCTTGTAGACACAGACTTGGCGAGCCTGAGTGCCACTTCATTCTCCGTGGATATAGAGACAGCACCGCTTCCAGCGGGCTTCCACCAGCCAAAGTTCACGCTCTACGACGAAAAAATCGACCCGTATATGCATGTAAGTCATTTCCGACAGGTCATGGCCGGACATAGGCAGAATGACGCTCTTATGTGCTTGATCTTCCCGTCGAGTTTGGGCGAGCTGGGTTTGAAATGGTTCGAGAGGCTGCTGGAGGGGAGCATTAAAAGGTGGTAGCAGTTGGCCGAAGCCTTTGTGACGCGCTTCAAAACCAACACCAAAACACCAAAGGAAGTTGATCATCTACTGAGTGTCAAGATGGAACCGAACGACACATTGAACGCATACAACTCCAGATATTGGGAGACCTTCAACGAGATCTTGGATTGCCCGGTCAACCTTGCAATCACACAGTACAAGCGTGGTCTCCCGGTCGGACATAGATTGCGAGACTCGCTTACCATGCACCAGCCGCCATCCATGGGCCAGCTAATGCAACACATCAATGAGTACATCTGAGTGGAGGAGGATGCGTCAGCATCAACTACGAAGGCAACTCCGGTAGCAACGGACAAGAGGTCGGTTGGCAAAGTGCATATGGTCGGACAAGAGTCCAGCCGTTCAAATGACCGCACTGAGGAATCGGACCGTGGCTCAAATGGCAAAAACTGGGGTAGGAGACGTCGGAATGACCGGGATGACTACCCCCGGGATGACGTAGCAGATGCAAACAGAAGATTGAAGGCCAGGACAGCTATCACCATGATTTTTAAGATTCCAATCTATTGTATACTTAGTGAAATCCGTGACGAGGAGTATGTCCGGTTTCCTGCTAAGTTGGGCGACGGACAGAAGGACTTCAATTCGCGGTACCGTTGCACGTTTCACCGGGAGCGCGGCCACCGGACGGAGGGCTGTTTGCCTTTGAGGCAACACTTGGAAGAGCTAGTCGCAGCCGGACACCTGGACCTTTACATTGATGGAAGCGTGAAGGCAAATCAAGCTTCGGTTGATCCGCGGGGACCGGATGACCGGGATGCGCCTCCGCAAGGGATTGTTAATGTCATCCATGGGATAGTGGAACCGGCGCGTATATGCGAGCTCCGCGGTATGATCAAGAAGGCAGAACACATGAGGGAAGTTTTGTCGATTCAGCCTGCGATCAAGAGGGGGAAGACCGAAATGAAAGATGTGATCAGTTTCTCCTCAAGGGACCTAGAGCGCATTTAGATGCCGCACAACGATGCCCTAGTGGTTACACTCTGCGTCAAAGAATTTGATGTCAAACGGATCTTGATCGATCAGGGAAGCTCGATCGAGATCATGTATTACGACGTATTCAAACAGCTCAAGCTCCGGGATACAGATTTGGCTCTCGCAACTTCGCCACTGGTTGGTTTCAACTCACAACCGGAGTGGCCTTTGGGAAAGATTATCCTGCCGGTCAAAGCGGGGTCCATGGTTAAGCAGGTGGAGTTCTGGGTGTTGCAGGTGTCATCTACTTATAACCTGATCCTTGGAAGAGGATGGCTTCACGCTATGCAAGCCATGGCATCAACCTACCACCAGGTAATGAGATTCTCCTCTGCTATGGGGGCAATTGAGGAGATTTGAGGCGATCAAGTCATGTCGAAGCAATGCTTCGTGGTAGTGAACGGGAGCCAGACTGCCAAGGGCTTCGTCCAAATGATTGAGGGACCGGAAGACCGGGGAGTCCTTGATGATGTAGGTACTAAGGCCAAGGACAAAGCCGTTGAGGAATTGGTGGAAGTGCGAATTGATACAGGGAATCCGGACAAGTTCTTTTTGCTTGGCTCAAGCCTTATCGCCCAAGAAAGAGCCGAAATGGTTGAGTTTTTGATGGCTAATATCGAAGTCTTCGCATGGTCGCCTTACGACATGCTCGGCCTTGATC